TAAAAGTTAGTATATTTTGCAACAGAATTGTAGCTTCACTTCTGGTGTCACTTGTAGTGGTAGTGTCCTCTGCTAATTTTTCTAATAGTTCTACTATATTCTCTAGCCCATCGACGATAACGCTAACCGCTTGTATTCTGGAGTTCCATCGTAACGTTGAACGTGAGAAAAATAGATATATGTTTTCAATTATTCCAAAACATGTCACAACGATTGGATCTTGTTTAGCTGCAGTAACTCCTACTGAATTCAATGAATGGTTATCACAATTTACAAATAATGCTTTATGATTTTTTTCCCATTATTCTTGTTGAACGCCAGATGTGTGACCTGCCATCTCGGCAGCATCATCGTAACATTGTGATCTGCAGTTTGTTAATGAAATTTCATCGGAACTTAATTTTTCTAAAATTGTATTTTTGATCGAGGCTGTATCTTTATCGTGTCAATACTTTTCAATACCCAAAAAAAATTCGTTGGTGGAAACTTTTTTATGGATAAAATCAACATCTACATACCTAGCGACTTGGGACATTTGTTCTCGATGAGAGATATCAGGAGTTAAATCAAACAAAAGTCCATAATATTTATTTCTTTTGATATCGTTTATTAATTGATTTCGAATTGTAGATGCCAGAAGATGAATGAATTCATTTTTAATTTGTGGTGACAAATATGAGACAGTTTTTGGAGATCCTGTGGCATGTTTAAGATGATTTGCTAGTAGCGGATCAAACTGAGCTACAAATCTAAATAAAGATAATAGGTTTCCTACATTTGTACCATCTTGAAATGCTAGTTTTTCAACATGGCCACATAGAGGAAGATTTTGTATAATTAAATACCTTAAGCAAGCTAATATTCTTTTAAATATATTTCGCCACCGTTCTTTTTCGGACTGAATGTTCGCTTCTAATGATACATCATTTCTCGTTCGACTTATTAATCTTCGTTCTGTTTCTTTCCAAGTTGTAAGTGATTTTCAGTGATTTGGAATTCTTTCGCGGCTAATCAATTCATCTCTTTTCTTCCATTTATTAAAACCAGCAGATGTTACGAAAGATGATTGTGTAGCGGAATTTGATGTAATAAACAGTAAGCAACAAAAGCAGTACGCTGCATTATTTTTTGGTGAATATAATAACCAGGATCGGTTAACTTCAGTTCCTTCTTCTTCATTACCGTCCTGCCGAAAAAACCAAGATTTTGGCATTAGACGATTAGTTGACCGTGACTGTACATGTAAGTACATTAGAGTGTTATTGTTACTGTTTCAAAATTACAAGCGTAAGCTACATTGCGTTTATAGAAATAAAAAAATAGTGTTCTGAAAGGAAGAATGTTTGTACTTTGTACACTGCAAATATTTATTGTAACATATTATTTTATCAGACAAATCAAGAAAGGAGGTAATTTAAGTAACCACACAGCGTAGATGCCATAAGGAAGTGCTGACAGAAACAGGTCGAGTCAGCCCTGCCAGTAGAAAAGACGTGCCATTTCTATTATGAATACATTATTACAGTTTGATTTAGACTATTAGCGTTCCTTTTTTTTCCTTTTTATTTACGGATTAACATTTATTATATTACACTGGCACTAAATTTAAAATATATTTTCCAGAAATCAATTATAATAAAAATNTATTTTAACAATATCAAATATATTCATATTATGATACACATTAAAATATTAGAGATATTTAGTTGTAAAACAACTATAGGAAATATAGAATGGATATTAATCGTACATAGTCACATACATGGTGGCAATCGTACATAGTCACATAATTATATTTATGTTACTAAATATAATGACAATAAATAAATATGTTTTGACAACAATCAAAAATCAATATTTAGTAGAAAGATTTGGAAGATCTGAGCTTACCTCACATTTTACTATTTTTTAAAAATTGAATTGTATTTTATATTTAATATAAATAAGGGGTGGCAAAGTGTTACTTTTTAAACCCATAAAAAAATGAAATTTGAACTGGAACATTTCTTTCAACTGAAAATATTTTTAGTAAAGTACCAATTGCTTAAATATACGAAGATAATAATAACAGACGGCATGTTTCGAGCGTTCGAAAATAGGCTCCCATTCTCAAGACTCACCAGATGTGAATGAGGAAAACAAATGAGATATGAAACAGAAAACATAAAGCAGCTAATGAAAATGGAAAATAAAATTTGAAAAACATAGCTAGAAAAACTGTCGTAACCGAGAGTGAAACAGAAAATGCAAAACAAGAAAGGTACAAAAACAAAACTAGAAAAAATGCATTGGCTGAAAAAGTACCAACACCACCACTATACAAAGAAATTATTTTAGACATTTAAAAGGAAATGCATTAAATATACATGAAAACTTTCATACATATTTTTTTTTTATAGCTAACAACTTACCATACTTTAAATGCATATGAAAATAAAAACATTTAAATAAGGAAAAAAAAACATGCATACAAAATCAAATCAAAGTAAAATGTAATCTTTCATAACTCAACTTCTTTAAAAGATTAGATATTTTTGCAAATAAAAAGAAACATATTTTGGTGTAGAATAGAGGGAAAAACAATGTGAATAAAGCACAAATAAAGTAAAGAAATATAACCACAGAATATCCATTTTTGGACTTTATACACTGATCTTCAGACACTGTTCTTCATTCTATGTGGCGTAAATGATACCCTATAATCCCTTTTTTTTTCCTTCATATTTTTATGCCACCAAACAAAATAAAAAAAAAGATACAACTTTTACCCATGACCTGCGCTACCCACTATGTTAAGCAAACCATTTACATTTGATTTTAAATCGCCACAAGATTTCATTGAGTTTTGGAAGTTGATTTTTTTGAGTTATATTTTAGTTCAAACTTTGTCAGACTTTTGCCCTATTATAATTTAAACATTAGAGTATTATAAAATTGTGTTGAAAACATAACATGCTTTCTTTCAACAGAAGAAGAAATCACGATGGTCCAACTATAAAATAAAAGGTATACTTGTAATAAAAAAATGAATGAAACAACAAAAATTCCAACTGACAGATATTTTTAGTTTTCTCAAAGGTATCAACTTCACCAACTCTTGAAAGATTAATTTGTTAATTGCATAAAAGAATCAGTTCTATGTTAGCATGCAGTACAAGGAGTGCATTTTATTTTAAAAGGCCTCATGTATAATAAAATTTGGATAGACCATATTCAGGACGGCCACTCAAATCAGATTTAAAATTTCCCTGATTTTTCCAGGTAAAAATCCTAAAATTTCCAGGTTCGTGTTTTGTTTTTTTCTTATAAAGTGTAGGATGTGTACAAGAAAAGTGTCTATATCATAAAATATTTCATTCAAAATGTCATTTTTTTTAACATATCATCATGAAAAAAAAAATTATTTTTTAAAGTTTTTGTACAACATTAATTTTTAAAAATTTAAGATATGTGGAGAAAATAATATGTTTACCGTGTAGGACATATTGTTTTCATTAAATTTAATTTTTTTTAATGTGTTACTTTTAGTAGTATTTGCTCAAAGCGTACCTATAAAATGGCAAAAACAGAATGACCAATAAAAACTCGGATAAATATTGTTTAATAATTTTTTTTAATGTGTTACTTTTAGTAGTATTTGCTCAAAGTGTACCTATAAAATGGCAAAAACAGAATGACCAATAAAAACTCGGATAAATATTGTTTAATATATTTTCATTAAGCAATAGATTTTTATAATGACGGTGGCTAACAAAAGTGCTTGTTCAGTGCTTTTATTGGAATAGGAAATAAAAATTCATTAATTAAATTTAATATTTCACAATGGGCATTTAATAATAAGATGTTATAATCGATTCTTAGCAAAACTGCGTGGAATATTTTAAAAACAAAGGAAAAGTTAATTTTTAAGATATCAATAATCAAATAGTAACAATAATTTTACACAAAGAAAGTCATTGTACAGTTAAATGTTTTCGGATTTCAGAATAAAAATTATCGTCAATTGCTTTAATTCTTTTTTCATTTAATTTTTATTTATTTATTTTCAATTTAGTATCAAACTTATGACAGCAAAATTATATTTTAATTCTTGCTAACTAATTCCATAATATGTTATTTTATCATTTAAAAACGGCTCGTAGTCGTAATGAAACAATAGACCAAATTTCATTATTTGTCATCATAAGAGGTAAATCAGTAATAAATATGTTAAATTAGTTTATTGTGTCCTATTGCACTGTGCAATATGTGATGAAATCTTAAAAGAAGGATTTCATATCAGAGATTAAAATTATAAAATCTGTGGAAAAATTCATAAATTCGCAATTGAGTTCTGTAAAATTTTTAAAAAAATATTCTGCACGAATTTCACCTGACAAAAAAACTAGCTACATGTATTTAAAAGCTGTTGTAGAGGCGAAAGGAAACTCTACTAAATCTTAATTTCATGAAAAAATAAATAATTTACTAATAGACATAGTTTTTTTTTTTTTTTTGAAAGTGTCGATGACTTTTGTGGGATAAAGTTATTGTCACTTTTTGATGATTGATGTATTAAAAATAAACTTTTCCTTTGTTTTCAAAATATTTCTTACAGTTTTGTTAAGATCAGAATACATTTTTTATAATTAAATATCCATTCTGAAATATATTCATTTTAATGAATGGGTAGTCTTATTTCATTGAAAGTCATAAGTGTAACAACACTTTTGTGAGTCACTGTAATTACATTTCAATACAAAACTGTACTATATACTGCATTATACTGTATTTTTTTCTTACCAGTGCTTTTTATAAAATTCATTGATCATATTTTCTTTAAACCAATATCTCAAGTCAAATTTTTCAATAACGTTGTTTTGAATTAGCATTATTATTTTAAGAGATTCAGTATACAAAAATAGATGTCACAAATGTAAAATTGTCTAATTTTTTGTTCTATACTCTATGGGGAAAAAAAAGAAGATAAAATTCCTTAAATTTTATACTTTTTTTTTTCCATTTGAAATTAAAACATTTAAAGGATTCCAATCAAAACACACAGTTTTTTAGTTTAGCAACCATGAGAGAATTTTATGAGGCATTCTAGTTTAACAGGGTTATAATGGAGCAAATTTTGATGCAAGCAAAGTAATAGCTAAGTTGATGACATTTTAACTGTTTGGAGACATATTTCCGTCTAAAAAATGTGGGTATAATGAATGAAATAATTTAAATTAAGAAAATTAGTAAATAATTTAAATTAGTGAAATAAAAAAAATCTAAGAAAAAATTTCCAGCTTTTGTTTAAAATTCCCTGATTTTTATTCAAATTTCCCTGATAATTTCAGGTTTTCAAGGTTAGCCATAAGAAAAAAATTCAAAATTAAATTCAGTTTACAGAAGCATTTCAGATTTAGTGTTACCATTTCTTTTATTTCTATTTATTAATTTGAAATAATTATTCAACCTAAAAAGATCCCCCCCCCTCCCAGAAAAAGTTAAAATGAAATAGGAAGAAATTTTTTAATTATATTAGTATTTAATATGTTACTTTTGCCTTGTTAGAATCAGTTTGAATGATGTCACTTCTGAAATTTATTGTTTGACAAATTAAATTTGTTTTATTTATTGTACGTCTATAATTTGCATAAAGCACTAAATTCCTCTAATTGTTTTACTTTTCATGAAATAATTAAGGAAATAATAATAACAAGAAGAGCCCAGATTTTGATGGAAAAAATCCCGATATATCTGAATCCTGTCTAAATCCCTATTAATGCCTTAAAAGAGCAAAAATTGTCTTAAAAATATAAAAATATAAACTAAAGCAATGTTTTTCTCATAAACACAACACATCAAAATATATTACAAAGCAATATCATATGTGTTCCACATTTATTTAAGTTAAATGTTACAAGCTAAAATAACGAAAAATGGAAAATATATATTGACTTTTAAACATTTTCTTTTTTTATAAAAATTTTAATGGACATAAAAATTTCCATATCACTAGATATCAGATTTACATCAAAGTTACTAGATTAGATCATTATCAAATTTTTCAGAATTTATTTATGTTGTCCGTCCACAATTTCTTTCAATAGTATAATCCTTGCTAGAAAACTGTAATGTTCTAAATAATATAAATCAGAGAAGTTGAAAAAATTACAGAAGACAGTTAAGAGATGGAAAAAATTACCATTACTCAAGATTTTATATCAATAACATAACGGGAAAACTTGGGAGTCCAAGGTATTATGAGTTACAATATAAATTACAAGAAAAATCTTGCAATTAATGTAATAAAAAGATCCAAAGTCAAAGAAATAATTAAAAACTGAGAAAAAAAAATATCCCAAAAATTTAAAAAAGGCACTACAATGCAAAAAAAAATGGCCTATAAGTAAAAGTGTTCAAAAATGCAAATGTCATCAAATTCTGGGCCTTAAAAATTAGTTTTCTTAGACGGAATTTTAAATAGGCTAAATTAAAATGAAATATCACATTCTTTGTCATTTGTTTTCATTTCTATTGTAACGAAAATATTTTAATGCATAATAATTATTGTCTAAGTTCTGAATTTTTAATAACCATCATCATTTCTTTAAGACATTTCAACTTCTGTCCTTTCTTTAACAAAAAATTTGCTCTTAGACATTACAACTGTCTAACAAAAGACTGCAACTTTTCTTTTTGCTTCAAAATCAATCTATCTAAAATGTAAAAATAAAATACTGGGATAAACTCTTGAATTTTTTTCCTCTTCTTTAGATTAAAATCTGTAAATGAAGCATCAAATTTTCTAAAACATGCAGCAGAAAAAAAAAAAAAATCTAGGAGCATAATCGAAAGTTCAGTTGAGTAGGCAGTTGTATTAATATTCAAGCCTTTGTATTATTTGTTGTTACATAATGAATATTTTAACAAAGATTCTTTTCATTTATAATTTTTGAAAAATAATATCAGTTTGAATTGTCCTAAATTTTAGGATACCAAGCTTCTACTGTAGTTTGGAAAAATTGATATAAGATACTATACACTTACCTTCTAAGAAAGCCAAAGCTTCACATGCTTCAATACAATCACCTTCAAAAGAAATTTTATTAATTAATTTGAGAATATTTTATATAATAATTTCTAAAAAAAAATCAAACTTTTGTACAATTAGATGACATAAGAAAAAAAAGATTTTAATAAAAACATTAATGTGAATTTCTTATTTTAAAACTAAGCTAACAGCTGATGAAGATTTGGGACACTTCTGAGAAGAAATCAGATACCTAAGTGTAATGACTGCTCGTAAATATCATGTTTTTCTTTTATTTCAATTAAAATTTTTAGATTGCAGAGAAGCACTTGATGCATATGCTGATCACTATCATATGATTGCAGTTATTACTTTAAATTTTTTTCCCTTTTTTTCTTACATTAAGACTTCTAAAACTCAATATATAATTCGTCCTTTAATAAAGTATCGTAAATGAAATGAAACACTTATCAGTCTACTAAATAGATATACTCACTAGCCTACAGAATTTTTAGTTCATTAACAACAATTTAACATAAATTAGGCTTCGGGGTTACTTTAGTTACATTTTCGTATTAATCATTATTTGTCTCGTTTTTTTTAAATCTTTTAAATTGTTTTTTTCTTCTTCGATTTCACATAAGATAATTAATCTTTCCAAGCAAATTCTCTTTGCATATTATAATTATGCAATTAGAATTTTCAGATTGCAAATTATTATGTCACTCATTGATTATAGATTACAAATTTAAAATCAGTTTTTTCTTTCTTTCTTTGCATATGTCATAAGAAATCTGTCTGCGAGAAACTTACTATTATTTCCCATGAAAAGGCAAAAACTACACCAAGAATTCATCGTTATACCTCAATCTCATATCAGTCACAGCCTTTTCGTATTTTTTTAATAGATTATAAGATTTTAGGTTTAATAGATTATAAGATTTATAAGATTTTAGGAAATAGTTATCGTTATGGATTCTAGTTCAAAACTTTTCAGATACTTCTTTTCTTAGCGTTTTACTTAATCCCTATAAGCAGATGCGTTACCAGTTGTACTGAATTGCTTGCATTCTGTCAATTTTGAAGTTTAGAGTGAGTCTTCTACTTAGGTACCTTAAAACTGTAACCCCCAAAAAAGCACTATCTCTTCCATGTGCAGTATCCCCCACTATTCTTTTCTTTTAGAATGCTTCACTCTCTTCACAGAGTATCATTCTAAGCAAAAAGGCAGAATATATTAATGAAAGAACCAATATATTAATGACTAGACATGCTTTCTTCCCCTTACATATAGCCCCCCTGCACACATTAATTTTTGTCTCTCTAAAATGCTTAACCCTCGATGCATGGTCTAATTCCAAGTGATAAAAGAACAACATTTTGTTTTAAAAAATTGAACTGAAAAATTGCTCCTATGAACTATAGTTATGTTAAAAAAATTAAGGACTTTTAAAAACCTTGTACCAAAATTAAGTACTTTTAAGGGCCCTTATTTTACAAAATAAAAATTAAGCAGTTTTTAAGAACTTTTAAGGTCCGTGGGAAGAGTTATGGCAGCAGAGGATTGGTGATATAAATAGGAACCTTGTTGGACTGCTGAAAATCGCTTTGTGTTTGTGCCTTTGAAACAAGCACTGTAATTGGTTTGAAGTGTATAAAAGGAACTCAATTTTCTCCTGCTTCAAGGGTATAGTTGGCCAAGATTTCATTGAAAAGGAAAACAATGACAATGAGCAGTCACATAAATAAAGCTTACCATGTAAATAAATTTCTAGAATGTGAAAATAATTATCTAAGACAGTGGTTCCCAAATGATGTTACCCAAAATACGTTCCCAATAGATGTTACCCGAATTTTCAATGTCAAAAAATAATTAATTTTAAAAACTCTTACTTATATCTTTTTTCTGTATAGTTTTCTTTTTATTTTGTTTTGTGAATTTGTAAGCTTCTTTGCCCAACATATGGATAAAGAGTTCCTAAAATATGGAGAAGAAAAAAATGAAATATTATTTATTATAACATTGAAATATTAATCAATTGATATGATACAGCAAAAATTGTATTAAAAAACCTCTAATGTTGAAATACTTTTGCGCAATAAATATTGCCCAAAATATGACAACATATAACTTAAGGCTGTCTTTGCTTTATCTCAAACGGTAAGAAAACTTTGCCAATTCACATTTTTTATACAAAATAATATACAGAAAAATTGCAGCCTTGCTGTGCAACATTTAGTAACACAGAAAAAAAAAATTCTTATTATTCCTTATTTTATTCTAAAGCTGTAGATCAATAATAATAAATGAAAGAATTTAAGTGCTTGTATATGTATTTCTCTAATAACACCAAAACCATTTGAGCTAGGAATCTAGTCAGTGGGTACAAGAGACAATTTTAGCCCCAAATCCTTAAAAGTTTCAATTAGTACATTTAGTAGGGAGTTTTTAAAATTGGATTTTGTTTATTGCATATATGTTCCTCAATTAATTATTTTTGGTTCATTACATCAGAAAATGGGAAAAACAAGGATAACACATGAGGACTACATTCCTGTATTAGTATTCCTAAAGTTATGAGAAACATGTTTATTTTGTTTATAGTTTGCTTTTGAAATGAATTCTTATAAAACTGAATAATTCTCAATTAAAAGTAAATTAAATTTTAATATATTAAGTCTGTACTAAAGAGCAAAATAAAAAGAGGCTTGGTTCTAGCAAATTGTGACTAAACAAACTGCAACAGAAAAAAAAATTCCTTTGTTTAAATTCCCTAAGAAATTCAATACATTTATTTTTCCTTTCAACTGTTGCTTTTTAGTTTTCCCTTATTTATTTATCATTAATATAGCTTGGAAAATAATGAAATCATTCTAACTAGATTCCTTTTCTAAATCTTTAGGAGAAACTATTTTAATAATTGATTAAATCCTTCCATCTCTTTCATGTGCAAGGTAAAAAATCAGGAAAATTTAGTCACTGATGTCTACATAATCAATAACTAAAATATATACTAAGAAAATACAAATTCTCACCATTCCATTTACATGTATAGTTTTTTTAATAAGTTAATAAAATGAATTTGAATGAAAAATTACAATGTATAGAATTAGAATAGTTTACGATTATGATTAAATATGCAATTTTATGACAACAATACTGTCCAAAATATGGAACTAAAAATCAAAGCGGCATAACATTTCTTTGCATCATCTGTTGGCCAGTGGCGGATAACTAATAATTATATTATGGCAGTCTAAACAAATTTTATTGAACTCAGAACACCGTTAATTTCAAGCCCTGCACTTAGGTTGGAAAATACTAGTGATGTAGCGAATAGTGATGGCGCTGAATACTGAATATTCGGCCAAATTTTAAGCCGAATACTTACTTTTTAAAAATTTCTCTTTTGATTGTAATTTTGTAATTAAAGTAATTTTCAAATTTTAAATTAAAAATGAAATAAATATTAACAAAATTGCTTTTTTAATCTTTGTATATTTAAAAAAATTTTAACAACTTGATNAATAATTATAAACCTTTTCCTATTATATTATATTATTTTCTTTTAATAAGTTAAAGTAAATTGTATAAAAAATTTCAAATATTTATTGATACATGTAATTATTATGTGTACAATAGTTACACCTATAGAATTTTTACCTTTTACCAAAGTTCAAGGTTTTGGACAGTTTTACCCAGTTAAGGACAGTTTTACCCAGTTTAAGACAGTAAAACCCACTTGTCCTGTCCAAAACCAGTTTAGAACGTCCAAAACCCCAACCCTGCGCACACTAGCATTATTTTTGGAGTCAAATGCTACTACCAATAGTTAAAATTTAATTTGATAAGCTGAAATTTTAATGATGTGGCCTTTTTAGTCTAATAATGTAAAATAACCATTAATGGAAATAAATAATAAATTAATAAAAATTCAAATTTTCTTACTCTTATTGAGGCATAAAAGAATTAAAATCACTATTTAGAATGATTACAATAAACAACTCACAGTTATTATCTGTAATATAAACTAAATAATTGTAATATTTCAAATATTATGAATTTTAAATAGTTTTATATTCTAAAAAAATAAATAGTACCATGTTTTTTGAAAAAGCAATAACGAGTTTCAATATTCTTAGCTTTTTTTTATGCATGATATGATATTGATTATGATTTTTTATTATGAACATTTTATGAATCATAATTAGAGTTGTAGTTTTAATGCAAATATTGTGTGTGATTTAAACAATTATGCAGTTTAACTTTTAATAAATTGTTGTTACTCACATGGAAGAAATTTGCCCTAAGATTTTCCTAGTCAAAACTTTTTTGTCATATTTCAATAGCTTATGACACTTTTAGATAAGTTTTTGACAAGTCATGTCAAAAGCCGGTTTTGGCATCGAAAACTTAATGGATTGGAAGACTCTTAACCTCCTCCCATCATTATTATGCACTTTTTTAATTTATTTCCAATACAAGAATCCAATAGTTTTACTTTACAAAATTCCAGTTCACTTAAACAAAAAAAGATAAAGATACATAGTAGATCAATTTTTTTTTATATTCCAGTATTCACACCCAATAAAGAAATATCAAGTTTGTAATGACATGACTAAAATCAATTTCATTGATTAATTATTTCATCAAAATCTATTAGATGTTTATGATAATATAGACGCTTCTCTTTCCTTTTTAGAAAAAAACTAGTTTTTACTAAACTCATTTACCTGCAACAGAAAAAAAAAAAATTCCTTGATTTAAATTCCCAAAGAAATTCAATAAATTCATTTTTGCTTTTAACTGTTGATTTTTAGTTTTCCCTTATTTATTTATTATTATTGTCATTTATAGCTTGGAAATTAATGAAATCACTCTAACTGGATTCCTTTACTAAACCTTTAAAAAAAACTATTTTAATAATTGATTAAATAAAGGTTTCTTCCATGTGCAAGGTTAAAAACAGGAAAATTTAGTCACTGATCTCTACATAACCAATAACTAAAATATATAACTAGCCTGGACAAATTCACACCACTCTATTTACATGTATCTGCTTTTTTTTGGTTTTCAATAAGTTAATAATATGAATTTGAATGAAAAATTACAATATAAAGAATCTGAATAGTTTACGATAAGGATGAAATATACAATTTTATGACAACAACACCGTCCAAAATACGAAACTAAATATCAAAACAGCAAAACATCTGATTACATCGTCTGTTGGCCAGTGGCGGATAACTAATAATTATTTTATGGCAGTCTGAGTCAAATTTTATTGAACTCGGAACACCGTTAATTTCAAGCCCTGCACTTTGGTTGGAAAATACCTTTCGAGGTGATTTTATCCACTGGGAAAGAAGCTAGCCACCCAAGGCACAGATTTGAGAAATATTTTAACTTGTTTGTTTACTATCAATTTAATCTAGTTTAAACTTACACCAGCTTTGGCTATAGCAAATACAGCATCTTGACTAGCTAAATTAACATCAGGATCTAATTTCATAAAACTTTTGATCCTGGTTAAAGGAAGTTGTACGATCTTTTCCAGCTTTTCAGGAGCAGCGCTGGTTTCCTCATTTTGCCGCCCAGAAAAGGGGTTTGTTTCAAATGCTTCTGTATCATTATAATAGCTATTAGATGGTTCGCCATCAGGCAAAATGTCCACTGTGGCTTCATCAACAACAATCATATCCGACGCATTATTCTGAATCAGTTCATCCATGATTACTTCCTAACCAAAGACCACAACAAATTCACCAACAAACAAACAGAGCCGCGCGATTTTTTTGCTAATATTTCCGACTGTCTATTTCTGCGAGATACTAGACTTAAGCTTACATAAAAAAACTTCCGATTATCTTTGAATTCCAAATTATAAATCTGAAAATAAATCTTAATATTTCCTTTCTCTAACATTCATGTAATTATTACTTAGTATATGCGTGTAAATGGATAAAAAAAATTAAAATCAAGGTTTAATTTTTATTACTGCTTTAAATCTTGATATGACAGAAATAAGTAGCCAGAAGCGTAAACAATAAGCGGGAATTTTATTATTTTTTATTATTATGATTTTATACAAATTTATTATAAATTAAATATAAAATTTGTATATACTGTTTAATGTTAATATAAGAGGGAGATTCCTGCATCCCCTCCTGACCTGTGGCAAAATAATCGCCAAGTCTTGAAACTTCCTAAAAAAAAAAAAAAAACATCACAGAAAGGGACCAACTCGAAAGAGCAAATCTCTTTTCACATAGAACCGAAGATATAATGAGCTTGAATCATTAAAATCTGAATATCTTGCCTTAAACTGGACTAACTTTCAACGAATTTCCAAAACTGAACTTACTATCATTGACGAGTAAAGAACAACAATCGATGCACTAAATTTCATAGAAAGTTTGAAATGTTTTGTACTAAAGTAAAACCGAAACAGTAGGTGATTTATGAAAATTTAGTGTGGTACTTGTGTGCTATGATTGACCAGGAAAAATCCTCATGAATGAGTAATATGATAATCATGAGTAATTCTCATTGATGTTTTAGGTGTGCCTATTGATACACTAAAACTAATTTTAAGGTTTTTTAGACTGATTTATTCAAAGTTTCTGACAGTAATAACATTCCAAAACTTTTGATTATTGCCCACAAATACAAAGTCTTTATTGAAAAAAAAATTTATTATTTTTTTTAATTTCTGTGTTAGAATAGAAAAATGTCTGCTAAGCTAATACAGTTGGAGACAATGCTTTAAAGAAAAGTGTTATAGAATATAGACTATATCAAAGTTAACAAATAGACTATTTTTCTAATTAGTCTTAATTGTTAATTGAGAACCTGACATTAGGAAAGAAAATTTTTACTAAATTGACTTTAATGTACAATAACATAGGTGTGTTTTTGAGTTTGATATGTTTAAGGTCTCTTCAAAAGGTAACTTATCCCAATATTGATACTAAACATCTAATTCAAAATAAAAATAGTCGTAAATCTATTTGCCAATTTAATAATGTAATTTATGTGTTAACCTGTAGTTTTTGTAATATGAATTTCGTTGGACAAACTTGTAACACTCATAACATTAGAATTAACCAACATTGCTCAAATATAAATGGCAATAAAATTAATAACTTAGAATTTTGGTATTTAGACATTGTAGATGATTTTGATTTAAGACTACAAAAAGAAAACTATTATATGCTTTTACACTAAACAATTTTGCATACAGGATAAAGATATCTTCTAATATACACAGATTAACTTTAATAACTCTTATACTTTTTCACATTAAAGATGAGCATACAAATCAAGGTAACCAGGGATCAAGATGTAATAAATACTCTTTAAATCGTGACAAATTAAATGTAAATGTTATTTCTAATCAGGAAGAAGGTTTTATTAACCATTGCAATATTAAACCGATGAAAGATTTGTTTTCTCCCTTAAAGATAAAGATATCTATAAGCTTCAAGATCTTATTAACAACTTTTCTTTTACTAATTTGCACTTCAAAATTCTTTGTTTTGGTCTTGTGAAAGGAAAACTGAGTAAAATTTATCATAATGAAAATAAATAATTAAGTAACTTGTGAATCATTATTAGCTTTCAAAACCCTATTTTTGATTTGTTTAAATCTCATATAATGTACATTTGACAATTTAAAGAATTTGCTCCCATTAAAAGTTTTAATGTAATTTAAAGCTATAAATATAATAAAACTCTTTGTAGAACTTTTTTTAATTATTATGATATAGGCAAAAATGTAGGGAAATATAATGTAATCCGATTAAAAAGATCATTGTGACCACTTGCCTATCCTCTTAATGCCATGCCATCTGGCTCATGAGGCCTCAAGTCTCTTTTTTGGGGCACGCCTGTTCTGAGCCAGTCCTCCTACCTCCTCCCATCCATTTAGTTTAGCTTTACACCAATCTTGGTGCATGTATCTTTGCCAAGTACGCTTTGGCCTTCCTCTTTTGCATTTACCATCAGGTTCCCAAGTAAATTCGATGTTAACTGGATATATCCGGAAGGATATATCCAGTCCATCTTCTCTTTAAAATTTCCTCATAAATGGGTGATAATTTTGCCTTTATTAATAGATCTTTATTTAAAATAGTGTTGTGCCTGAAAATTTTTTAAATTATTCTTAAACATTTGTTCTGGGATGTTTCCAGGTTTACTATTTCAGTTTTGCTCAGGTTCCGACATTAAGCACCATAAGAAACTATAGAGTGAACAATAGTTTTAGAAAAATTTATTTTTGTGGAGATTTTTTTTGTTTGAGGCTTCTGAAATGGATTCTAGCTTTTACGATTCGTTGGTTCCTCTATCATTGTTGCTGACTCCTTGTTTATTTACTATTGCTTCAAGGAATGTGAAGGAATCTAATCCTTCAACTTCTTCAGAATTTATTTTTCACTCATTGTGAAGAAAAAAAATATTTGGAATTTGTTGATAAACCAGTGTTCTTCCTAAGTATTTTTAGAAGGGCGGCCCACCCTGCTTGCCTTTTGATCCCAATAAATGAGCCCTTTTTGTAATGATAAGCTGCCATCCCTTAAAAATACTGCCTTTTTATTCATATTCCATTTTGAAAAAAAAATTTATAATTAAATAATAATTATACACTGTTAAAATTATCTGTGTTTATATGTATAATTCTGATTACTATTACAATTATTCACTTTCTTACTATTCTCAACTGGTTAAATTTTTATAAGTATCTTTTTTGGGGGGTGCAGTGCTATTAATAAATTTTTAGGGGATTTTGAAACTATTTTATGTATAGTACTATTATCATATTGCTTCAATTATCCATTACTTAATGTGTTATAGACAAACTCTTCCAAAATTTGATTAAAAACAATGGATATCCAACTGATGTTATTGAATTCTATATTGAGTTGTGTGTTATAATTATTAATGAATTCATTTATACAAATTGTTTTTGTTAAATTGTTGCAAATTCGTGGCTAAAATCTTCTAATATTTAATAAAGTATTTTCAGTAAATGTTAATAATTTCTATAATAGTTAATAATCATCAAAATTTGAATGTTATAATTAAATTTTGATCTTTTATTATTTATAAACTTCTAGTCATACAGTATAATATAATTATCTTGCACAAATCCAGTTTCGGGTCAATCCAAGATAACAGACAAGTCAAATGTGGCTCTGTACATAAGTAAGGACATGCCATAAAATATATCCCACTATTCTCTATTTAGGCTTTAATTTCATATTTTGTAATCTGGCAAACTTAGTTACGAAATTAAACTTAATCATTTTTTGAAAGTTGTCAGTAAATAAATAGACATTTGATTTCACTACTTGCTTTATATCTCACATTTTTTGTTTCATTATGTTTTTTTTGTGTGTGTGTTTTGCTTGATATGTCTTTTTTTTATCATTTAGATTTTTTTTAATGCTCCTCACACTATTATATTAATATAGTTTGCTTTGGTATTAATACACTATTAATAAGCACTCTAATTTTAGGATATATCGTGTGAGCTAAAGATTTATATAAATTTTTTTATTTTGTTTTGTTTGCCTTTTATTATTTTTTTAATCATTTGGAAAAAAAATTTTATTTATTTATTATTACATATCATATTATTTTTTTTATTTATTTATTATTTTTTTTTTTGCATTTTTCTTATTATTGGGTTCTATGTATACTTGCTTATGTGCAGTCAATAAAACTTATTTTCTTTGTTACTGCATTTTTTCTTTAATTCTTTTTGTCTCTTTATTGAGTAATATATATGATATATATATACAACTCTTTTTAATCAGATATGCTTTTTGCTTTAGAGAACTTTTAATTAGATATGCTTTTTTTAGATAACATTTTCTTACATAATTTTGTTTCATAGATTTCACATCTACAATCAGTTTCTCTCACCAAGCTACATTTTGTTTTTTAAACCACATATTCAGTCTATTTATTGTCAAAATGCTCAAGTTGAAGAAAGTTATATATAACAGAGGGTTGTGTAAATGTTGCAATAAACTTCTTGGGGAGTTAGAGCATATCAGCAGTATTAAAAATGCATAAGAACCTATGTCCAAAAATGTCATCTTACGCCATTAGGGGCGCTTCACAATTATTAACTGTTTCTTTTTGTACTTCTGAACTGATCACGATAGGGAAACGCCCCTACCCGAGTACGACAACATTTTCGAGCTCAAGAGGTTCCTATGCAATTTTAATTCTTATGATGTGCCTTAACTTCCCTAGAAGTTTGTCATAATATTTAAGCAACATCATGTTATACAGTGATACCTAGAGATACGAGTTTAATTTGTTCCGTAGCCTTGCTCGTATGTCAATTTGCTCGTATCTCAAGGCAATTTTCCCCATTGAAATTAATTGAAATGCCATTAATCTGTTCCAGCCCCAAAAATGCTACTCCCAATTATTTTTGTTACATGTTTTTGAATAAGAAAAATTTATTTATAAATGACAAATATTGTATAAAAACATAAAAAGAGAATGTAAAGCAAAAAAAAAAAAAAAACTGGTTTTATAAAGTGTACATACATATTTGTATTTTGGTCACTTAAATGCAACTTACATACAACTTAAATGCTACTGTATGCTTAATTTTAATCTCTGCTTTTCTCTTCACTGGTCTTTGCTTTTTTAGCCGGATTGAAAAAAACTGTCCAAGGAGGTTTGTTTCTTCCTCCTTTTCAGAATGCTGCAGAAATGAGTTAGGCAAGTGTCATTAAATAGCTCCGATGTACGACCAGTTGCAACTTTTTCTGGGTGTTTCTTTTACACGAACTGTGAAA